AAACTGTTACCAACCTCCCAGTGGTACACCGGCAATCCTAGTTCTTGCCTGACATGATCAAAATCCACCTTTCCCACTCCCTGAAGGAGAGAGGGACACAATGATTGAATGCAGTCTGGGTCAGGTTTCCATTCCCAAATGTTGAAGCCCTCAAGGGGACTAACAGTAGTGTAGGCACCTGGGTACTAGCTCTTTCCCAGTGTCTATTGTATAATTAATACCCAGTAATTTTAAAAATAATTTTATCATTAATAATAAAAGGAGAAAGAAGATAACCTTTTTCTGATTTAACCCAATTTCTGATCTTCTGTCTCACATTTCACCAGAATTGTCACTCAAGATAACTGTCCATTGCTCATTCAGTCTGATGTGCAGGAAATGCACAGTGGGTTCTTTTTAATTAAAAAAAAAAAAAAAAGATTTAGTTATGACGCAGAGAAATCAAGAGCATTATCACAAATACCATTGAGAAACCTATTAACTAAATATAGTCACTCAGATCCATGACACTGGATTCTGGAATCATTTCCCCCCATGACCTTTTCTCCCTCATCTTTCCTCCACACCAGCTTCCAGTGCAGATTCTCAGTGGAATGAAATATGCCCATCATAAGAAGCCATCCCTCTGCCTCCAGCTGCAAGCTCCCATCACCTATCTTGGACCAGAACAAATGCTCAGAGTCTTACATGTTCAGTCAGATGATCTCACCCGTCTGGTTGAAACATTAACTTACAAAAGAGTAAAATAAAGATAAATTTTCAGGTTTTGATTCATCTGGCAACATGGCTTTACAACTGCTATTGCTGGCACAGGTGAAGCAGAAGCAAGAGAAAACTGAAAAAGGAAGGAGAGATCTATTCCTTTCATTGACTTAAACCACTTGGGTAGCAAGCCCATGGTATGAACCAATGCAGAGGCTTTTTCTAAAGTTCAGAGAATATTCCAGCTCTCCTCATGAGTCAGTCTCCCGCACAGCATATTCATTGGGGCATGTGGATATTCACTGAGCTTTTTCAGAAACAGAAGTAGAGCAATTCTTTCTAATTCCTGGCCTTGTATTCTTTAGCTGAGGAATTCTACGTTAGTTTCTATTTTCTATATCTATTATAATGACCACAAAATACAGTATTACTTCACAAACATAAACAATCACATTTAATGTATAACTGAGTGAAACTACAATGAATAAAAAAAATTAATAACAATTATTTAAAAAAATTAAATCAGATGTATTTGCACTAATTCTCAGGTATTTAGAAACAGTAAACAGAAATGATGCCTGATGCAATTGAACAAAACGTATCTTTCTTTAGGCAAATAGATATTTAAATCCAGACTCCTCCTGTTGGGCTTTCAGTTGAAAGATCAAAGGGGTTCACAAATTACAAAGTACAGTTCATACATCAATTTTAAATAAATCTTTTACTACCATAGCAAACAAGCAACAGAAAATTATAAAGAACATGTTGGAGGTGATTCTCCTTCAAAGTCTTATGCAATCCTATGTCTCTGAATGTCAGAAAACTGGATAAGGTTAAAGCCTTTGAAGCACATCAACATGTGAATATAGAATACGTTACCCAGAGCTCATGCTTTGGTTGCACTGCCACTACATAAAACAGATTCATTCAGACACGGAAGACATGCACTGAAGATCAGTGAGGTACAATCATAGACAAAACCTTACCAAAAAATAACACACTGAGCTGTACTCACTACTAAAACAGAGGAGCAGTGAACAGTAATACAAATATACCATGGAAAATACTCTTTTTTTGAAAAATACACTTCAGGACGTGCCTAAGATAGGTGCAGTATAAAACAGTTTCCCCAGACTTTCACCTCTCTGCCTTTATGGAAATTTGTCCTCTTATGTCCCTCTCTTTCAGTGAGAAAACTTCTTACTGAAGAGGCTCTGGCTCATATCCTCAATGTTCAATCATTTGAGCTACTGAACACTCATTACTGAAATTAGTGCAAATTAAGCATGTATTAATGGCATTAATTCAGGATAGCATCACTCTTTATGACAGTACATAAGCACATGCTTTTCTGAATTCTGGTCTAATTACAGTACTGATTAGGAATAGGTTTAAGCATGTGCTTAAGCGGTAATGGTCAAAATAATATAACTCCAAATACTGTGATCCCAGCTATCAGTAAATGAACTTTTATCCAGGTAGGTTTGAAAAATGATTGCAGCATCGAAGGCCAAGTAATTATAGTCTGTTTCTTGCCATTTTTTTGAGTATCACTTAGATTTCTTGGAATCAAGTGTTTATATGCAGATTAGAAAGAAAACACATAGGACTAAAATAACACGTTTATTACATGCCATGTTACAGTTCGTTGCATTCCCATTTCTATTTGCGCTCACAGTACTATGGGAAACTTAAATTATTTCATCAGAAACAAATGAAGTACACAGAAAAGTTTGTCAATAGACAGAAGCAAGTGTATCCATAAGCCAAACAGTCATAACATTCAAGAGCTTTAATACTCCATTACATTGTTTCATAGAAATTAGAGATGAAAGACTTCTTATCCATCCCTTGCCAATTCAGGATGTTTTCTGTTCTCCAATTCAGTCACCAAAGGCTGATTGGCAACTGACAACCACATGAATAGAAAAAGCTAACTAGATGTGCCAGAGGAGAGCAAGCTGTGAAATCTGTATTTCCCTTTGTGAAGAGCCAAGTTCTTTCAAGTTCTTTTTGTTTAAAGGTAAATTAATGAAACTCAGGAGCTCACAAAATCTGGGCCTTTTATTGTATAGCAAGTAGACTGCTTTTCAAGTACACATCCAACATACTGCTGCTGAAGCCACCTTCATCCCTCCTACAGAGGAATGTGTTTAGTGTGCTGTGAAAAAACATCAAACTGCATTACAGAATTAAAACTGACACATTTCCATTGTATTGAACATTTTCTGAGACTGAGACTCTAAAGAAACAATAAATTATAGTAGATCAGTGTTGTTAATGATGTTGGATTTCTATACTCAGTCTCAGTCAGAAGAAGTTGGTGCTCAGAAAGGTCACACAACAAATAATGTCAGCCAAACCTCAACAGCAGGCTTTCAGATTCTCTCAACGACTTTCATATTTCATCAGCTAAACACTGAAATAAAGTTTGCATTAAAATGGGGTCTTCTCTGTCACACTTTCTTCTGGAATCATTGCACATAGTCTTGGATTCTCTATTAAACTTTGGGGCTGAATACTGCAGTAACTTTTCATCTGCAATGTCTATGGCATATCATATCTTATTATGTCTGGTACTGACTAGAATAAAAATGCATTAATCTTTTCTCATAAATTCAGAGGAGGGAGGACATTCAACAGAAATATTGGGGGGGGGGGGCTTCTATTATTGGCCATTAATCATGTCTTTATCTCCAGTACTGAACAACCTTACCTACAGCCAAATGCTAATCCCATTAATCCTCTTTAAAGATCTGTAAGGTCTTCTGTGTAATTCTGACTTTTACTTAATGTGTATCTTAATTTTACAGTGATTTTTGCAAGCTCACTTGAGACCAGTTTCTTTTTGAGAAAGGAGGAAAGGCTGCACTTTTCCATAGTGAAGACAATGGATTTAAAAATAGAAATGAGATACTAAATGTTGCCAGCCAGCTCTAGTCAACACAGAGAAGTCAGTCCAGAAAGGCTACTGCTGAAGAATTGCTACCAAAGTGAACAGAAGCTCTGACCACAGAAAGGCTGGAGAACTGGTCCTATGATTTTGGGGGTATATATCCCATCTTGAAGAAGGCTCTGCAATGCATAAGGATTATTTTTACTTACCCCCTGCCCAGTAACAGGGCTTTTCCATTAGAAACAAATATCAAGGAGGTAATTACACAGCAATCTGTAACACAGGTTCAGTAAATCCATACCATTTGGCTTTGGCTCAGTGAGTATGCAGTAACAAGCGGCATCAACAAAAGTATACTGTATGCGAAGTGGAGCAGATCACACGCTACAGTCTTAGGGCTGGAGATTTAACACAGTGGGTTTGAATACAATGACTATAGCACTGTTACAGGTTTTCTAAACTCTGATGATATAAATTCTATTGAATGTAGAGTTATGACATTTTCTCTGGCCCTGAGTATGAATCAGACAAAGGAGAGGGGAATGGGGAGGATGTGAAGAGCATTATGCTTAATGGCCAGAATCTCAGTTAGCCAAAATCAGTCTGGTTTCCATGAAATGAGCAAGCAATGGCATCTGGGTAGGAATCTGTGAAAGTTGTAGACCTTTTGGAGAACTTTGAGGAACTCACAACAGTAAAGTAATGGCAGATGGAGCACAGACATAAATGTAATCAAAGGTTGAAAGCCAAAAGCCTGTATCAATGGTCAGGATAAGACAAGCTCAGAATTACCCTTGGGGTTTTTGTGATATAGGCTAATCTCTGCATTCTGTATAAATCTGAATGTGATTAATTATGACTTAATCACTCTTTTTAACATACTGCAGAGAACAAATGGCTGGCTGAAAAATAGAAATTTTCCATTTCAACTTTTTTAAATCAGGGATTAATAAAATCATCACATTATGGATGAAATGGATGAGAATACCTAATCCCACTTTATTAAGGCTTTCTTTGTAAAGGTGTAAGAGATGTTACAAAATTCATCTGCATTATCGTTTAGGATTAAAATTGAAAGCTTATGTAGAACTGTCCAGTTAAATAACACAACCTCTTGACTCTGCATTTTGTCAGAGCTGGACAAAAATATGTGTGTGTTCAGGCAAGTTAAATCTTAGGGATATTTACTTTTAAATTTTCTCTTCAAAATACTGATATCAGTTCTACAGTTGATCACAACAAGGAGACTATATCACCGTATTTCCTCTCATTGTTTCAAATTTTTAAAGCTTCCAAAAAATTTGAGTCATTTTGGACCAGCTCTAATCTTTGGCTGCTCACTGAAAAGCGTTAATGACTGTTCAATTAACATTTTTTTCTGAGTTTGTCAAACCTCTGAAATTTATAGATAAAGATAGCCAATCCAGTAAACAAGATTGAACAATGCAAAGGCAGTTGGAAAGAAAATTCGAGAATAGGAGTCAATTTTTGCAATACGGATGTGTATCCTTCCTTCTCTCCAGGATCCTGTGCGGCAGTCTTCAAAACAACAAAAGAAGCTAGCACAGTCTTTCCCTTCTAGGCACTCATATCCATAATCATCATCACGTTCAGGGAGATGATTAATATTATTAATTGGAATTAGTGTTGATCCAGGTCGAACAGCAATTGCAGGTGGTTTCTTAAGAAAAACAAAAAAGAAAAATATAGTTTTGCAGAGGTTTTTTATCCTCACATTAAATAATTCCGTAGGCTTTCCATAGCAAAGGCCGATATAAGTACATTCAGCACAATCTACAGAAATTCTAATATTAAACAGTTTGGGGAGCCTTGTGAATTATGAACTGCTGTATATAATTAGCTCATGCAGGCAAAGGATCATGAATGATTTTCACCTGCCACAGTAAAAACTAGGTTGTGCTGGGATTTGGGAATAGTGAATAATTAGTTACACAGACAGGGTTAGCTGATCCCATCTATACAACATAGACAAACATTCTGAAGTCAGTCACAGCTTAACAACTGGGTCACAAGCAAGTCCACAAGCAGGCTATAAGCATCACTACCAAGGGAATGATGGCTCTCCCATCATTTGGAACAAGACTGGATGTGTTTCTGGAGGCTACATTTTCACCAAAAAAAAAAAAGCTAATGGGATTAGTACAGCATCACTGCTGAAGTTTAAGAGACTGAGACACATAAGGCCAGGCTATGTCATCTAACCCTCTAATGTTAAATCCCTAAACAATATGCCCCAGCTTTAGAAACCAAGACATAAGACTCCTTAGAATGACATTCAAGTCAGTGAAACTGATTAATTCAGCTCTTAATTCTTGCTTTTACTTTCTATGGGCACAATTCAACCCTCTTGTAATCTCGTAAAAACTCAGTGTAATAGATGTTAAGGTTCATAAATCATTTTCATAGAAAAAATCTGGGTGCTTTATTGCCTAGTACATATACTGTTTGCTGTTCCCTTTCTTGTGACTTCTGCCTTTTCACCTTCCTTTTACTTACACTACCACAGCCTATCTTTCCCCCTTTTATTATTTTGTTTCCACACAGTTCTTCACTCTTCATCCTTGTTTTCCTGAATATTTCAAAATACATCCTCTTTCTCTATCTGTCCTTTTTTCTCTTTCTAAATCTCATCACCTTTTGAAACTATTCCATAATCCTCTTTCTTTCACCCCTCCCACCTTTGGCATCTCTTCTAAAATCTTCAGACTGAAGATAGAGGTTACATCAACACTACTCTTACATTGTCTTCTCTCTTTTCTACCATCTCCATATTTTGTCATGTAAGGAATAAATACAGCAGGAAAGGATGCGGTCAGAAGAACTAACTGGGCATTGAAGTGTAGAGAAGAATCTCTCCTAAACTATTGTACATGATAGGCAATGAAAAAAATACGGAAAAAATATGAAAAGCAGGAAGACACATCATTTAGATTCTTGTTTGTTTTAGTCCTGTTGTCCCACTTCCAGGGAACTACATTGGCCAGTACACAGATCTCTATACATTGTTAAGGAGCCACTCTGTTGTTGCAGGGACATTTCACCCTGTGTCCCAAGGGGTGACGTTGAAGCAGTGCAGTATCCACCACATTTTCGAATAGCTTTATTTAATAAGCGTCTTTACCAGAGGAAGTTTCACACAGACTGCTGTTTCAACACTTTTTAGACATGATGACCTAGGGAGCTAATTATCATCCTAAACGACCTCATTATTCTTTTCAGTTATGATAAAATACTGACAACACTAACAAACGGCAGTTGCATGCTTCTACCCTAATCTGAGGCATTACTAGCAGGGCTTATTTTTATAAAACATAAAAAGTAAGTTCAAATTTTTTTGGACTTACAAAATAATTATTTTGCTGAAGATACATAGGGAAA